TGATCAGCCATCACCTAAGAGTCGGGTCTCCTGAAAATTTCCCAAAACTAGAGAATGATCTACGCTCAGCAGAAAGTTCTAATCGTAAACATGCTCAATTGACATAAAAATATTGATTTACATGCTTTAAGAAGAAAGGGGAACATGTGTTTAATGTCTCGATTATGTCCTCATGAAAGGTATGTAAATGTCATATGCATATGTCATAGCTATATCTAATGCATCTTCTTTTACTTATTTAACATATTCAACCGTCCCGGAGTACCGTCTTGTACTGATCAGGTACACATCTTTTGGCCATTTATTTTCCTCAATCGCCCCAAGGGCCATATGTGCCTTTGGCACCGTTTTTGGTACTCCGTATTCAATCATGCACAATCAAATCAATATTTGTTTCACATGACTATATATTCTTTCCTTCCTTACAAATGTTTGACATAAAGCTTTACACATGAATTTGAAGCATGAAAGAAACAAAATAAATATTATATTTCTATAAAAGGCTTTACAATATAACATGATATAAACATGAAATAGCAATTGAACATGTAAGGAAAAGAATTCCTACCTCCACAACCTTCTTCTCCGCTTTCGCTTTCTTTATTCTTTTTCTACTACCTAAAGACAAAGACAAAGAATTCATTTAACCTTATGTTCCAACATTGCTTTTCTAGGTTTCCTATAATTTTGCTTAACCTTATGCCAAAGAACATCACCCGATTTTCGGATTTAATTAAATAGCAATGATAGGAACTTCAAAAGTCATCTAATTTAGCCTAAATCCTTCTAAAACATCCATCTTTCTTTTAGTTATATATAAATTCTTTTTATTTTCGGAATTATGCATCAAATAATTAGCAAAATTATTCTTGTGCTCAAAACTAAAGTTTCAAGATTATACGTCAAAGGACTGTACTTGGTGAGTGACAAAGGTTAAATGATCGTATTCAATAAGCAACAGAGGTTGAAGAATCCTAATCGGCAATTGATGGAGGTTAAAAATGATCGTAATCAAACGACGATATTTTGAGGACTGTAATTGTACGATGGTGTTTCAAGGACCGTTATTGGGTGACGGTGATCCAAGGGCCATAGTTGGTCAACAATTGAGGGGGGATAGTAGTTAGTGGGTGATGGTCGGACAGTAGCTTAGTGGACCTACTCAAGACATATTTAGAGCCTCAGAGCTCTCTTGAATCTCAAAAGAGAGTTCAGTAACTACAAGCTCCCCCTCCCCTATCTCAATGTAAAGTAGGGGATTATTTATAGATATTTGAGAGTGACATTCCCGTAAATATGAAGAAAATCAAGAACACTCAATTAGACGACCCATAATAATTTCCTTTATCATTAAACGTTCATTTAACATATAAGTACCTTAATAAAATCGCAATTCAATGATCTTGGCCATGTTAGATTCATCTCATTAAATTGCTCAATTCAACTATTAACATGTTATATTTGGAGATCGTTTAAACATCCAATTAATGTCCTGTAGTTTGGTCCTATTCAGACATATTTAGAGCCTCAGAGCTCTCTTGAATCTCAAAAGAGAGTTTAGTAACTACAAGCTCTTCCTCCCCTGTCTCAATGTAGAGTAGGAGCATATTTATAGATATTTGAGAGTGGCATGCCCGTAAATATGAAGAAAATCAAGAACACTCAATTAGACGACCCATAATAATTTCCTTTATCATTAAACGTTCATTTAACATTTAAGTACCTTAATAAAATCACAATTCAATGATCTTGGGCTTCTTAGATTCATCTTATTAAATTTCTCGATTCAACTATTAACAAGTTATATTTGGAGATTGTTTAAACATCCAATCAATGTCCTGTATTTTTTTTCAAGACCTTGATTTGGGCCTATTCGAGCTTGGATTAAACCATTTTTATGTTGTTTTGTTCATCTCGTTGAAACATTCATTTTAATTGTATGTTTGCCGAAATCGGATTTTGGATGGTCATGTTTTAAAAGTTTTCAGTTCCAATATGCCTCGAGATTCATGCCCATTCAATGTGATTTTTGATGACGTATCAATACCAATAGTAGAAGATGAATTTATCCAAAGGGAAGAAGAATAAAGGAGGCATGGATGAGCACAACCAAAAATAACTAAAAAATGAAATGGGCTTTAAGCCATTATAAATTTAGAGTATGACGGGTTAGATGGGTGTGCCTAGGACACATGGCAGTGAATTATAGGCTTATAGGAAAGTAAGTAATAAGGGCAAGCAACAGGAAGCAGCAACTACGTGCATGTGGTGATAGTGTTAAGCAAGTAAATCAGCACGCATCGACAACACAAGTCAGCAGAATGTAATATGTCTAAAAGAAAATCATTTTTCAAAGTAGGATGGGATTACATGGGTTGGGAATTAACCTTGTTCTAATAACATACTAGAGGAGAAAGATACTTTAGCTTTTATAATTCACTTAAAAAACCCTCCTATTTATAACAAAAGAATCATCATAGCATTCTAAGTTACAACCAATTAATATATTCCACTCACAAACTATAGACCGCTAGTCAAACACATGGGCTATTTGGTTGCTTAAAAAAGAAATTCAATATTTCAATGTAAAAAGAATGAAGCGTAAAAGGAATGTGGTGTAAAAGAATTACTTGGATGAGTGTAAAAAAATATATATGACTTCACATTTTTTTGTTTGGTTTGAAGCAAAGTGAATGCAATGTGAAGTGTAAAGAAGTTGTGCATAGGGTAGTCAGCAATGGTTAGTGGCCGAAGGCCGAGGACTGCTAGCATTTGAGGGCGGCGGCGGTGGTGGATTCCGGCCAACGACTATGGGCAGCAATGGTCGGCGGTGGCTAATGTTGGGGGGCCAACAATGGCGTACAACGATGAACGGTGATGGAAAAGGATGGTGGTAGCGATAGCGGTGGTGGGTGGCTAGCATAAGTAGTGGTCGGTGGCTGTGATGGTGGTGGTGGTCGGCGGTGGATGATGGCAGGTGGCGGTCAATAGAGGTTTGATGCTGCCTGTGGTGGGCAATGGCAGAGGTAACGGGAGAAGGCGGGCGGTATCGGTTGGAGGTGGCACTGGTCTGCAGCAACGGCGCGTGGCGGTGGAGACGAAGGCTGTCGGCGGTGCTTAAGCAAAGCTTTGGAGCGATGAAAACGATTTTAGCTCAAAACTGGGCGAGAATGATTTACCTCAAAAATGAACTAAAATGAAATAAAATGCATTCACTTTACCTTGGATTTGTTTTTCATCCAACCAAACATCAAACTTCTCAAAACCCCTGCATTAATTTTACTTTATATTCACTTTACTTCTAACCAAATAGCCCCCAAGTATTTTCCTATATTAACAACCCCAAATTCAATCATATTATCATGAGAATCTTCAGCAAAACACAAAACAGAAAAGTATCAACTGAACCCAAGTCTTATGAGCATTATATCAAGTATGAAGCTTTCATCCTCTAAGTGACAGGAAAAAGAAAATTAGCACATGCAGTATTCCATGATATCTTTCTCGTTCTCTAATAAATAGTTGTTGAAAAAAAAACAGCAAAAGAGTGAATAATCTCCAAGTCTAACAAGCTAGCAAAGACAGAACAATTCACTAAATCATGTAAAAGAAACAAAATAAATTTAGTTTATAGCTAATATTATGACGATCCATACATGAATAAACCATGGTAGATCACATATAAAGACCACTAACTCCTTAAATTTCATGTAAACCATAGTTTAACAAGACAGTTATCCTTTCCAGTTGTTAGTAGTTTGGTTTAGGTCACTCATACTTATTTTGTTCTCTTTTTCTTCCTCATCATTCTCCAAAAATGATTATGGTAAGCAGTAAGCAACCCAAAATTGTTTGGCTCTGCTCAACTAAATGGAAAGAGAAAAAGAGTATAGGACCCCGTGCACCTCTGTTATGTATAGTGGAGAAAGATCCCTTTCCACTCTCGCTCCCAAAATAAGCGCCATGTTCGACCCTATCATCAAATTGCTCATGTTGCAAGTGTTTAGCCGTGCGGGATGAAGGGAGGAAGAGGTTTCATTTTAAGTGGGTGGGGCCTATTCTGTGAGGTACGCCTCACCCAGAATTGTGTAATTGCGCCTCTGAGGCGCGCCTCAGTCCAGGTGAGGCGTACACCTCAGCCAGGTGAAGAATTGCATAAGCCTCGAGGCGTTTTTTGGTCAAATTGCATAAAGGCGCGCCTCTAATTGCGCAATTTTAAACAGAGATAGGGCCCAATCCAAAACAGAGAGAGAAGAGATCTTAGCCTGTTATCAATATTTAGATACAAGTCCTTCAAGCTTATTTATTTTTTTCTTCCTCATCACTCTCAAGGCAAAAAAGTTATGGCCAGTAGCCCCACATGCCCAGCTCTGCACATCTCAATGGAAAAGATAAGAGTATAGAGGCTATCTATTGGCAATGGTTTGATGTAAGCACTTCATGCTTATTTTCTTCTCTTTCTACCTCAACACTATTGAAAAGTAGTTAGGGCCAGCAATCCCCAAATGCCGAACCTTGAAGAGTATTAAGGGTAGGAACCTCAAAAATATATAGAGATATATACTTTTCTGTTGTCAATAGTTTTATGAAGATCATTCAAGCTTATTTTTTTATCTCATTCTTCCTGATCACCTCAAGAAGTGGTTAGGACCAGCAACCCCTAATGCCTGGCTATGTTCATCTCAATGGAAAAAATAGGAAGTGTAGCGGCTATCAACCCCATTCAAGTCACACGAGCGTTTTTAGGGGATTCTAGGCTGCTCCACCTTTTAGAAAGACATCAATGAAAGAGAAAAAGAAAAATGGGCAAGTGACCGACATTGAACTATAAATTATATGAGAAAACCTATACAAAACTTTTGGAAAGGATTTTTTTTTTATTTTACTCAATTAAAAAACCAAAATGAATCTTATGAAAAAACCCAAACATTCCTACACTAAACTTCAGCTGTTTAGATTTAATATCAATTTACCAAAAAGCCTGAAAAAATATAACGTACCCATGAATTAACTCAACTAGTTGGGGCCGCAATTCTTCATCTCTTAGCTTGTGTATCCTTCTTGAAATGGCATCTACAGATTTGATTGTCATACTAATCTTTGTGATGAGCTTATTTATTGCAGCTCGTGTAGAATCAATCTTATTAGACTCAGCTCCCCTGTTATCCAGAGCTTTGAGGCGAGTGTACTTCCTATCATAAAACAACCTCAGCTTCTCTTCATCCTAGCACAACAATCTTATCAGGTTTAGCCAAACTTTTTTAAACTAGAGCCGGACAAAAAAAATGTTGTCAAAAGCAGAAAGACCATTTATGTTGTAAGGCAGTTAAGAACTTAAGATTTACTTTTAGAAGGAATTCTAGTTCACCGACAAATATAACATAACCATCCATTGCATGAACTGTATCTTGCTTGATAGATTAATTTTTTTTAATGAAAGAAGACTTGCATGTGGTTACAGAAACAAAAATAAAGAGCATTACGAGCAGGATCATAATGAATCACATAGAAATAGACGAATCAATTTTCATAAGAATAATTATGAAAATTGATATATTATGGTAATATTACCGTGTTCAGAATAATTAATCAAGGCTAGTTGGGCAGAACCCCTTAGCAAAAAAGGCATGCATTTTCTTTAACGGCTAGCTAACAAGCATACACTTTATTTCAGCTTTAAAACAATTGGTAGCACATATATGAATGGAGAGGAATTATGAAGCTGACTGAAGTTAATAGAAAACAGGCATCATCAGAATTAGCCTTACTCTAATTATTTGGGGGTCAATATTATGAATCTTTCTCCATTAGTTCCTAGTGAGTGGTACATAAGGTATAAAGCTTATTTTATGAATAAATATTTGTGCAATTTCTATCAATGCTACCTTTAATATATCTACTTTTCTGTCTAATCGTTCAACAATAATTTCATCAGCTCATCTTATTGAAACAACTTATATTCTTCATTATACATAACTAAACCATCAAAAGCCTATATATTTCACTGCATTATCATCAATAGATACTGTTGCCAACGTTCCTTTCCGAATAAATCCTTGCTTGTTTTGAAACATACACATTTTTTACAATCTCGTTTCTACTATGCTTAACTTGACCATAAATGGCCTATTTATCACTCAATTTGAATCATTTGAACATAATAGCTCGACAATATCTAGCAACCATTTTTCGTCACAAAATAACAATTGAGTTAGGCATGAAAAATAGCATAATTTAACTAACAGTGTAGTATGCAGCAATGTTTAAAATTGCGTAATCGGGAATTGAGACGTTTTTCATTTGTGAGGCGAGGCGTAAGCCTCAAAGCGTTTTGAGGCGTAAGACTCAAAACCAAAAAAATTGCGTAAACATAAAATGATAAATTTTGAATATACTAATGAGTAAATAAAATATAAAACATAAAAATGCACAAGATATGAAGTGAAATTAAAATATCCCAATAATAAGACAATATGAAATATAGTTCAACTCAAACTCCAGCTTTCCCAAATCACAGTATTCATTTCATTAACATATAATTCAGAAAATAAATACCAATGCATATCACATAAGAACTCATAATTCATCAGCTCTATCATCGCTAAGGGGGTCTTCATTTGAATCATCAGTATGATGAACTGCTCTCTCCTCTTCCTCCTCTCCTATAGAGTCCAATGTCTCCCAATCAGGTGTTTCCTCAATATCAGTTATTTTCCTTTTCCCTAAATATTTTTGAACAATCTCAAAATAAATAATAGTGTAATACATTAATAAAAGTATAAGAAAACTTTATTGCTTATATACCTTTTTTGATTTGTTCTTGAGTTGTGATTGATGTAGAAGACCATCAAAAAAATCAACATTTAAATCTTCATCTTGTAATTCAGACGGCATCACTTTAACTTCATCATCTACAAACCATTCATCATCAAATACCACCTCCTCGCAAAGCAAAGGATCTTCATCATCCATTAATCATTTTTTATTCAAATTTATATATCTGAGTCTCCTATTATACATAATGTACACTTAGTGAATTCATCCTAAATATGGACAAGTGATTTCTCATTTTTGTATGTACTTGGTTGTAGGTACTTCAATTTCTTCCACAGCTAGAAGAAGAGCATGTCAAGCCCAAAACCTTCACAGCAAAACGCTGCAATTCTAGAGTCCCATCGTCAAATTGAATCCACCACTCAACTAATATTTATATAAGAGAGTTGAGAGTTTAATTAGTGCGAAAATATAACTTTTAAATAAATATTTAAAACATTAAATAAAATTACCTGGTGATCGTTTGACAATTGTATCCTTTGCTTATTGTAATCCAAAAAAGCCTTATTTGTTTGTAAAAGGTACTAATTGCATATCTACATTTGATCTTTCAGTTACATCATTTATTAGCCGATTCATGCAATGATACAATCCCAACTTTATTTCAGGGTTTGTAAACTTATTTTATGCATATTGATACAGAGTGTTTAGGTAATAACCAGCTGCATGCAAGTGCCGGTGAAGTTGTAGCTCCCATCTATCATTAATAATATTCCAAATTTCCCTAAAGCTACCCTCTTCGCCTCCTAAGTTGGAGGCAATCATTTCTTTGGCTTCATCCATAGCATTGTAGATGAAACTCATTGCAGGCTTCTTCTCAACATCCAACATCCTTAAAACTTGAACCAAAGGTCTAGTGGTTGTAATGGCATATAAGATGCTTTGCCAAAATCTATCATTTAAAATAATTTTTCTAATTTATCTTTCCTCAATCTTCTTCGTCCAAGCATAACTCAACCATTGTGTAGATGCGAACATAGCCTCTAAAGGTTGTCTAGCATCCAGCATGCTCTCTAAGGTCAAGTAAGTAGTGACAAATCTTGTTGCTGCTAGCCTTAGAATTTCTTTCTTTAAAAATTTCATCAAAAGAGTTAGAACCCAAGAGTAGTTGTAAATAAACTTGGTTTTTTTTTTTTTGCTTTAATAAGTGCATTCTTATGTTGAGGTAGCTCATCAAGCTTCTCAAGAATCAGATCTATACAATGTGCAGCACATGGAGTCCAGTACAGATGTTTCCTCTTCACCATAAGTTTGTTACCTGCAGTCTTGTAAGCACTTGCATTATCTGTCACAACTTGTACAATCAAATGTTCTCCAATCTCCTCAACAATGTTATCTAATAATCCAAATATGAACTCAGCATCTTTGACCTGGTCAGATGCTTCAACTAATCTTAAAAACATAATACCAAAAGGATTATTAATGAGAATGTTAATAAGAATTCTATGTTTAATATCAGACCACCCATCTGACATAATTGTTCCTCCTGTTTGGACCCAAGTCTTCTTAATTTCTTTGATACTTTTATCAGTGCTTTCTAAATCCTCTTTCAGAATCCATGTTCTCAAATCATACATGGTTGGAGGTTTGAACACTCTCCCAAATGCTCCAACTGAACAAATCATGTTGTAATAGACAGGTAATGTTGCAACATTAAATGAAATTGTATTTTCGTAGAAGAATCTGCCTATATTCTTACACACTTTTCTCTGTGCCTCCCTTGTATTTTTCGGGGCCATTTTCTATGTAGTAGAAGATATATCCTCTGATGTGTCCACCATATAATGATTCGTAGGCCCTCTAGCACCCCTAGATGAAATAGGCTTCATCGAAGAAGATGAATCCCTAACGCTACTCTCACTCCCGTAGTAAGAGCCAACATCAACTCTATCCTCAAATTGCTTCTATGCAAGATGTTTTGACGTGGAAGACTTATTCATGTATGACTTTATCTCCTCCCTTATAGTATCAGAAACTTTGGAGCATGAAGCAACATTCTTGTTAGACCCTGAAAAGTGATCTTTCATCCTAGTCACATCATCCTTCACAACTTTATCACAGTAATTGCATTTTAGATAGATATATGTTTTATCACTTCCCCCAACATTCACCTAAGTGTTATATTTCTATGCTGAATCTTTTCTATGACCTGACACAGCTTTATCCTTACTTATGACCATCCATTATGAGAAAAATATAAGAGAGCAATATATCAAACTCCTAAACATAATGCTTCACTTATTCTATATTAAGAAATCTTATATAAGCATGCACTCATGAAGAAGCAACTAACAATAACAATTACTACTAAAAATGATGAATACTACAATATACCAGTCTGCCGGAGGTCCAAAGGGGCACTACCCCCAGGCAGGGAACAAAATTTTATTGTAAGAGTAATTTTGAGCGGTACCGACCATGTACGGCTCGGTATCGAGCATGTACGGCTCGGTACCGAGCATGTACGACTCCGTATCGAGCATATACTGCTCGGTACCGAGCATGTACAGAGCAGTACCGAGCATGTACCTCCTCGGTACCAAGTGGTACCGAGCATGTACCTAGTGGTACCAAACATTGTTGTACCGAATGATACTAAGCATATACCTAGCGGTCTCAATGTGGAGGGAAGTGAACGCCAAACAAAGAGGGAAAAAGGTCGCGGTAGAAGAAAGCTCCAACCCAACTCGCGGTAGAAGATAACTCCAAGCAATAAGCGAAGAGCGGGTCAATGTAGAAGGATGCCGACGCTGAACAAAGAGGGAAAAAGGTCGCTCAAAGAAGAAGGGAGAAAACCTGTTTTCGGGAAATGACGGAAGACCGCGCAGGGGTTGGGGGGTCTAAACCGAACAAATATATATTAGGTTGGCTTTTTTAAAAAAAAAAATTTAGAGGCGGATGCCTCTCAACCGTGAGGCGAGGCGCGCCTCAGTAAACTTGAGGCGTACGCCTTAAATCTTGAACTCATTGCGTAGGGTTTGAGGCTTAAATGGGCGAAATTGCGCTGAAGACGCGCCTCTTATTGTGCAATTTTAAACCATGGTGGTGTGCAGTACTTGATATCTTTGTCTGATCCAAAAGTCAAGTGAAGCAGAAGTGTGATCCAAAAGTCAAGTGTAGATGTTCCCCATTCAAGCTTGGACTAGGGCCGTTGACCAGAGATCTTGAGATGCATGCATGTAACAGTTTAAGGAAGATGTTTTGACATATTTATATGGAGTTGAAATAGTTGGTAGCTGTTTCAAAGGATAGAGAATTGGGCAAGACTAACGAGTGCAGCTTAGGTTAATTTCAAAGTTTAATCCACAACAGAAATTAAGGTGAACCCATCTCTGGAAGATATAAGATTCCTAGAGGTATAAATTAAAAAAAAAAGAATTAAAAGATATT